GCTTAATTCGTTCATTGCTTAATGGTAAACTGAGGTGAAATTTTATGCTAACATGGAAACATGCTATACCATTTTCATCCTGAAGCAAATTCGTGACAATTTGCCCCGCAGGACACACCAAAATCAGCAGTGAGGCTTCAGTTTGGATCCCAGCTGTGGCTACCAGGAACAACAGCATTTTGAGTCAGGCTTTTCACAGCGTTGTATGGTGGGTGGGTGGGATAAATAATGCATGAATTGAAATACATCGGGTTCAGGCTGAGTATAATGAAAACCTTGAGAGAATCACGCATTGCAAAAACTCTCTGAGCAACCTTCCCCGTTCTCCATCCTTGGAGATATCCGAGCCCCAGCTGGATGCAGCCCTGAGCAACCTGCTCTGATCTCACAGCTGACCCTGCTTGGAGCAGAAGGTTGGACTAGAAACCTCCAGAGGTCCCTTCCACTCAGAAATATCCTGTGATCTTATCAACACTTGTAGCTACCCTGATCTAGTATTACTATCAAAGGCAGCGATTAACCTTCCTGCCCTCTGTTGCAAACTTCAGCCTGCAACAGCCTTCCTTTTGACTTGAAAACTAACCTGGCACAAAACCTTTTGAATGTTACCCAGTTACCTTCTGTCATTCACTGTGTGACTGCCCAAATCCATGTGCTAGCACAAGGAATTGGGCAGCATGGTGTGGCAACAAGAAAGTGAAGGTAGTTTCTTCTGCTGCTGGCTTGAAGGGCCTGTAGGCTTTTAGAGGTGCAACCCCTTTTAAACCAACTTCGCATCATCAGGGGCAGGTGATCATCCTCTCACTGATGTCCTGAGAGGCTCAGTGTAAGGTTAAGTCACATCTGCTCTCCCAGCTCCAGCCTTTCGAGAAGTGCAGAGCATACTGCCGTGACTGAGCCCAGCTGATTTACCCGTTCTATCAACAGCTGTGCTTGTGGGACCAGTTATCAGCCACTGCTCCCCAGATCTGCTTGTCACCATCCACTTAGACATTGCCACTCTCTTTCCTGTCTGTGCATTCACTGCTTCCTAATCTTTCTGGTTGAAAGGAGCTGTGTAATCTTGTATGGCTTCTACAAAAGACTGTGTCCAACTCAGCTCATTTTGACTGAAGCGGATGAGAGTTTGATTGCGTATACTGAGGGTCAGCAGTCACTAGCAGTGCTAGTGATGAGGAGCTGAGCAGAGTGATGTTTTTGGATGGGAGAGCTACAGCTGGAGGAAGATATATTCATAAACTGCTCTTCCCTTTCATCAGGACACACATTATAGCTACATTCTGGCTGACCTGAGTGTACAACCCTTACAAAGATCTATGTAAATCACTCATGCCTGTATTTTCATGAAAAGGTACAAAATGGCTGAAGACAAATAATGTTGTAAAGAGCCCTTCTCCATCCTTTTTTTTAAGACCCCTTTAAGTATTGAAAAGCTGCAATAAGGTTTCCCCAGAGCCTTCTCTTCTCCAAGCTAAACATCCCTGTCTCCCTCAGCCTTTCTTCATAGGAGAGGTGCTCCAGCACTCTGATCAACTTTGCGGCTGTCCTCTGGACCCACTCCAACAGCCCCACGTCCTTCTGATGCTGGGGGCCCCAGACCAGGACACACAACTCCAGGTGGGGCCTCACAAGGGCAGAGCACAGGGGCACAATCCCCTCCCTCCCCTGCTGCCACCCCTCTGGTGATGCAGCCCAGGACGCCGTTGGCCTTCTGGGCTGCAAGCACTCACTGCTGGCTCGTGTCGAGCCTTTTGTCCACCAGAACCTCCAAGTCCTTCTCCACATGGCTGGTCTCAGTGAGTTCTCCCAGTCTGTGCTCATGTCTGGGATTACAAACATCAGAGATAAGAATGAAAAGGCTGTGAAGAGAATCTGTATGCACATATTGAAACTTATTTCTATCTTCTGGGATTTATGGCCTAGTTTCTTTGGGGCTCCAGACAACAAGCATCATCCATATCTCCTTTTCTTTACCTTCTATGCATAAATGGCAGCTGGCCCAAAGAAAGTTTAAAATTCCTCAAGAATAGAAGCAGGTTTCTCTACTAGGCATTTAAGGACTAGAAGACTACATGTATATTGCATCTTTAGCATTCTCCATTCTTCCACAAGGCAAAGAAATGCTCCTCACACCAACACAGAACTGGGCAGTTTCAAAGACAGCCACAGCTGGGTTTGTACTGGAGATGTGAGAGTACTGATGGAGATTTATGGTTTCTAAGGAAAAAAAAGTGCTTGGGTCCATTTTCTTCAGAGAAAAATAAAACACTAAGTGTTCTCCTTGTTCTCTGTTGGAGATGCTGAGCCTTACCACATCAGCATTCCTCAGAGAAAATGAAAGAGCCAAACCTAATAGAACAGCCTACCATAGCAGGTCCACGTGACTGACTGGCAGACTGAGTCAATACAGCTGGATAACTTGTTTAAACAACCCCAGGTTCTGCTGTTATTTGCCAAACTGCACCCTGATGTGGGCAGGAACAATTCAGTGCTCTCTGTAACCTGCAGCCACAGAACCATGCAGTCGTTGGGGCTGGACGGCACCTCTGGAGATCGTCCAGTCCAACCCCCTGCTCAGAGCAGGTTGCTCAGGATCGTGTCCGGTCAGGTTTGAGTATCTCCAAGGCTGAAGGCTCCACATCCTCTCTGGGCAGCATGCTTTAATGCTTGATCACTCCTCATGGTTTCTTCTGAAGTTTAAATGGAATTTCCTGTATTTCAGTTTGCAGCCATCAGCCTATATCTTTTCACTGAGCACTGCTGAAAAGAGCCTGGCTGCATCTTCTTTACTGCCCACCATCAGATATTTGTATACATTGATGAGATCCTCCCTGAGCCTTCTCTTCTCCAAGCTGAAGAGGCCCAGATGAGAAGGAGAGAAATGTCTCTCCTTGTGTGAGAGACATTTCAATCCTTTAATCATTTATGTGGCCCTTTAATGGACATACTCTCCATTACATCCATATTCTCCAGCTTGTCCAGGTTCCTCTGAATGGCAGCACAACCATCTGGTACATCTGCCACTCATTCTGGTTTTGTAGCACCAGCACATTGCTGAGGATGCACACCATCCCATCATTCCCAGTAAGTCATTAATGAAGATAACAGAACAGTGTCAACTGCCAGGGTATACCACTACACCACTACACTAACTACACAACACTAAATGGACTTTGTGTTGCTGATCACAACCTTTTGAGCCCAGCATATTAGCCAGTTTTCAGTCCTCCTCCTCATCTACTTGTGCAGTCTGTACCTCATCAATTTTTCTAAGAAAAGTTACGGGACATGGGATTGAAAACCTTGCTAAATTCAAGATAACCAGTATCTCTCCTTGTCCATCAAGTTACTCATTTCATCATAGAAGGCTATCAGGTTAGTCAGGCATGATTTCTCCTGTGAAAATCCATTTTGACCATGGATTCCATCCCAATGGCATTCCCATCCTTACCATGGTTGGAAATGAGTTCCAGCATTAGTTGCTCCATCACCTTCTCAGGAATCAGGGTGGGGGTGACTGGCCTGTAGTTTCTAGATCATTTTTACCCTTCCTGAAGATAGGAGTGGCAATTGCTCCATTCCAGTCATCAGGAAACTTCCCAAATTACTATTATGTTTAAAAGGTAATTGAGAGTGACCTTGCAATAACATCAGCCAGCTCCCTTATCACTTGTGTGCATCCCATCAGGTCCTGTGGGCTTATATTCATATGGTTTGTTTAAATGTTCCCTAACCTGATGCTCATCCACCAAGGGGATGTCTTCCTTGCTTCATTCAGACTTTTCCACTACTTGCAGGGGCCTGAGATTCCTGAAGGCTGGTCTTACCAGTAAAGATGAAGTGAAGAAAACACTGAGTACCTTGGCCTTTTCCATTTCCTTCATCACTAGGGCCCCTGTCCCATTCAGCAGCAGGCCCACATTTTCCCTAGTCTTCCTTACCTGTAGAAATTCTTGTTGTCCTTCATGTCCCTCACCAGATACATCTCCAGGTGGAGACACCATTCCTGCATACTTGGACTGTGTCTCTGTATCTTGTTTTTCACTGATTTGAGGATGCTGAACTATGTCTGCTGTGGAGCTAAGTCAGTTCTGATTCTGTAAGATCCTTATTTTGGTGACTCTATGTTGATTTTTACTGGCTGAGCATTCAGACCACTCCTGTTACAATCATGTTAGATATTGGTTGGTGTGTGCACTGATATGTTAATTGTGGAAACATTTAAATGCCTGGAGACATTTACACTTATGCAAAATAGATTTTGAATTCATACCAGTAGCTTTCAGCACAGGTGTAAATAACATCTTAGAAACAAAGTTTTAGGTAGCATTAGCATATCTCTCCTAGGTCTCCCCATAGAGAAATACATGAGCCTGTGCAGTGTGGGACATCTGTACACAGCCCATCTAGAGCATGATCAGTGTGTGCACGAGGGCTGATACATCCTAAGCATAATGCACTTACAACCAGAATATTTAATGTCTACAGTCACAGTGGCCCACCTACACTTGGGCAAAATTACTAGGCAATGAGAAAAAAGAACATATACGGGGAATTCGGAATATACAGAAGTCTTGCCACGGGGAATCTGTAACATAGAGCTTGGGAGATGACCTTTAAAAAATAGTAATGTTTGTCACTTTCCTCAGCACCAGTAGAATAAAGTGATAAGTAATAATCAATACTGCATAGACTTCACTGTAATAACATAACTCATGTGATCCTCTGAAGGTCAAAGCTAAAGAAAAATGACCTGCTTCTTTTTTAAAATTCTTTTATGTGCTGGATTTGGAGGGAAGCAGTTGTGTTATTGGAGAAAATAATAACTTGATAATGATCAGAGCTGATAACGTCTTAGCATGATGACCTTTACCTGCTCAGGAATGGCTCAGCACTGTTGAAAAATTCAAGCAGTTGGTGTGATTTGTGAGCATTTATTAAGGCAAATCAGATAACTGAATTTAACATCACAGATGGCTTTTATTTTCTAAAGTGCTTTTATTTCAGTGCAATAAGATGACTCAGAAACTCAGTGGGGTATTACAGCCCTGATTTTTCATTACCTCACACCTCGTATAGTGAAATTTCCAGTGCAGAGAAGACATAGGTCCAGTATAGAAGGATTTATCACTGTTACTATGCAAATATCAACCGTTACCAGCCATGCAAAGTATCACCACCCCATACTATTTCTTACGTTACTTTTCTTAATCAGTGTTATATTTTAAGATTGCTCATACAGAGTTACTACTTTGCATGCTTTTACTACCCAGAAAGACAAATAAATAGACAGTGATCTAACAGAATGTAAAATTGTCCCTGCAATCCAGAAATGATCACCTACTCCACATTCCTAAGAACATTTCACTTATTTCTGAGGAGGTTGCTTTGTTTTGCTTTTTAATAAGAAGGGAATTCCACTTGTATTCCAAGCACAGGAATTCAGAGCACTGCTCCATATGGGCAAACATAATGTCTGCTATCTCTTGGCAAAGAAGCAGCAGCACAGGTCTGTTTCCCCTTGGCAGGGAGCAGGAAGGGTAGGATTCATCTCGCTGAACTTTATCTATCGAAGCATCAAACACTCAGTAACACCGCATTTCCTAGAAGTCACCAAGGGGAGAAAGAGCAGCATTTACTGAAGGTGCTTGTCATCTTCTCTGCTGACAACAGGTATAGCCTAGATGACCAGCTAGCTGAAATACGTAACTCAGAGAAGACTATGTTTATAAAGAGAAATTCTACTGTCACTATTTGCTTGCTTTATTTTCAGTTGTTCTCAGGCAGAACTGCTCACAAACAGCAAGTGGGCACCTACCTCTGGAGCTTCAGCCTTAAAACCGGGGTTATTCCCTAGGAAGCTCTCACCACTATGTAGAACTCTGGAGATATTAAGAGAGAGTGAAAACTACTGCTATTTGCAACAGCATCAAACAAACTACAGTATTTCTGCAATGAGGCACTGTTGTACGCCAAGAAACAACACTCCAGAAAGAGCATTACCCAGAGCACCTGAAATATCTCTCTGCTGGAGTTATGACAAAGAACCAATATTTTCTCTCCCTGACATTTTCAGTAACATATAATGATCTCCAGCACAGGCTAACAGCAGTTCACAGCCATTATAGACCTCCACTAAGTAAGCTAAGGGACTAGAAGCGCTGACAGGAGGCAAGGTTGTAAATTGCAAATAAAAACCAGGATATAAGCATGCACAGGTTTTATCTATGCAAATGCATAGCTCAAGCTACTTCTGCAGTGGGGATACATCAGCTGGAATGGCTGCAAGTAATCAGCAGTTCTGTCCAGCCACTCTGCTAATCTAATCACTCAGCTCTGCTAATCAAATCACTCCAGTAGCTGGAGTGGTGTTCCCCTGAATGCCAGTGCTCACTAGAAACCAAGCTAAGTACAAATGAAATCATTCAGGTGTATTAACTTCAACTAATGATTGTCTTCTAATGAAGACAAGCTCTAGGAGTGCCAAGTTATTTCCTCATTTCTCACACCCACAAGCATCATTCCAAGAAAGTGAATGGAGTTATATGGGTTATGCTGGGGTTGGAGCATGAGGAGGATCTGGCTGCAATAATTAGTGTTGTTCAGTTGACCTACAGATTGGGACAGCAGAAATCTCTGCACTTGCTGAAGTGACTGTACCAAGGTCTTGCTGTCAGGGTGAGGGGTAGGTTACAGACTGCTGGGGGCAAGTAAATAACCACCAAATGGCCTGTGATACTTACCTGCCTATCCTAGTAGGAGAAAAGTCTACTTTGGGGAGCAGCAAGTAGCTACATGGACAGCATAGTCACTACTGCTGCACAGGAGGGGATTGGGATATGAGAGGTGCTGGTTTGGGGGGAGAAAGTGCATCTTTCCCACTGCTGCCCAGCAGCAGAAGGAACAAGCCCAGCTCACCAAGGTTCTTCTGAGCTGTTACAATACCTCTCTGGCCTCTTCTTCCTTCACTGTGGCCAAAGCAGCCTCTCCCTCCACATGAGGCAAATCTCATCTATCTGGGGACAGAGGGAGGTTTTTAAATTGATTCTCAGTCAGATGGAGGAACGATATCAAGAGAAGAACATGAAATTCTTCCCTTTCCATCTGCATGGCTGTGAAACCTCCCATGACCACTTGACATTTTGCTTTCTTAACCCAACATTTTAAGGCAACCCCAGAACCCCTCTCTGCTGGGAAGTTGGATTTTGCCACCTGAAAGGTAAGCACAAAAGAAGTTGTAAGTTATTTTAGGGTCATTTTGCAAGTAGCTTTGCGTGAGCTGTTGAGAAGCCTTGGGGAAAAATAAGAGATGAGAGAAGGAGGAAATGTTGGAAGACAGCAATGCCAGACAGCACTGCAGGTTGAATACATTACTTAAGTGCCCGACAGACGTTATAGAGCTGTACCAAAGTGGATGAAGGCAGCTCCAAGTGCCCTGTTCTCACAAATTGCAATGGAGAAGCTCTGAAATGTGCAGGAAGCCCAGAGATGCAAGCGGTGTTTGTGACCCTGTGTATGGATGTTCCAGTCAATTCAGCTGTTTAAACGTGTTTGGTGCCCTTTGAGATGTCCAAGGGTTCCTTGTCCAAGGATGTCCCTTGGTTCCTTGAGGCTCTGTGTTCTGTCTGCAAGCTGCGTGTGGATGTCTTGGATGTCTCACTGCAGCTCAGATATCAGAAAGGGCCAACGTTTAGTAACTGCTGAGTGCAATAAGTGTTTAAACAGCATGAACATTTGGGTGTCTTAATCTCTAAGCCTGATTTTGTGTTCCTATAGGAACTGAGTGGAAGTTCCTGGTGCTTTCAGTGACATTTCTGGCAGTCCTTGTGGTGGCCTTTCCCACCGCCGCCTGGCCTCCTTCAGAGCAGCAGGAGCTGGCGTGACTGTCCTCTTGGGCCCCGGGACAGAGGCCACGCTCAGCAGTTGTGTACTTACTGTTTGTTGTCCCAGCTGCACGGAAATGCCTGCCAGGAGTAACAGAGCCCAGGGAACAGCTCGGCCTGCTCCTCCTGCTGGGGAAGGTGCCGGTAGCCATCTCCTTGGTAGTCTGCACGCTGTCCCGCATACACCATGGGGCAGCTGGAGGCCGTGCCCAACCCCAACACTGAGGCAGTGCAATGCATTCACCCAGCACGGCCCTGAACAACTCTGACCCGCCTTCAGCCCTGATGAAAACATTGGGAGTGCAGGTATGAAGACCACAGGCTGGCTGAGGTCAGCCCTGGGACTGGGGAGTTCAGCCCACTCGACTTTAGGAGCTGTAGCCATGGCTGATGTGACTGCTGAATGCAGTAAGCAACCATACTCAGAGCCTTTCATAGCATTATTTCTCCAAGACAATAGGCAAAAATAGGCAAGCATGCTCTTGCACTGTGTGACTTGCATGTAAGAAAGCTGTACGTTCTTCTAAGTTCCCTACTGCAGGTTATTTTGGAGTAAGTAAGTTGTAATGAGTTCTCTCTCTCTTTTTTTTTTCTTTTTTTTTTCCTTTTTTTTTTTTTTAACACACAAAGAAAACAAAGCACTATCTTTTAGTTACGCTTTTATTTTTCCACTTCTATTCCCTTTTCTCTGTGAGTTTGATCATGTCCATTTTGCAAGCCTTTAACATCAGAAATCTCAATTATTATGTGACAGAACTACAGACCCCAAATATGACTTTTCTACACTTTTCCTAAACAGCAGTGAAAAGACAACATTTTGTAATACACAACAACCTTGTAAAGGTTTTAATGCTTCTTTTCCCTCTCTACTGCTCCAAAAGATCTTTTCAAAGAGTTTTCTTCTAATTGAGTCTGGAAATCATCCACTTTTAATGAGAACTTACTGACACCTAATTGCCATCTGCCTCCTTCAGTTTCTCTTAAGACTGCTGCATTTTTCCTTTGTGCTCTTAACTGCTCCGCTCTTGCTGCTGCTGTTTGTGCCCTGAGTGAATCCTTAAGTCTTCCAAGCATAAGTTTTTAGTCCTTTATTCTGTATTTCACCTTTGACTATTCGAGAACTATGAACCTTTAGAGCTAAATACATATTAGCTGCAGAATTCAGACAGGAGCTTCCTACCACAGCACTGATGTTGCTTGCCAGTGTGTTTTATAATCATATCTTCTCTTATCCAATGACACTATACCAGAAAGGCAAAGCAGTACGTGGCAATATTATATGAGAAAAGTAATACAAATCTCACAAACCAGGAAATACATGGTATCTTCTGCAACATGAAGTTTACCCCTTTGCTGAGAGCCTGCACAAAGTTATGCCTTTAATCAAGGCCTCTAAATGAGCCATCAATACAGCTTTGTGGTGGCCTTCTGTCCAGTGGCGAATTCACCCCGAGTCAGAAGCAAAGAATCTCTGACGGACTGAGGGCTGAATAGGCCTTTCAGAAATGTTTGGCAAGCCACATCTTAACATGCCTCTTACTGTTATGCCATAAAAGACTTTATAGAAAGTCGCCAGTGAGGATTTTCCTGCTTTCCTTCAGTTTACAGTTTCTTTCAAAATTCTGCTGATGTTTTAAGGTTGTCTGGTTTGCCTGAAGGGAAGCTGTCAGCGATGGCCCAGTATCATGCTTTTCACCCAGAAGAAGTTCCCAAATCCAAGGCTGCAAATGGTGATCCTTGGTCAGGTATTGATTCTCTCAGGTTTTCTTCTTGGCTGAAAACAGTAGAAAGAAACATGAGCCATAGTAGCAGGTGCAGCTTCTGACATAAGTGCTATTTCTGGCCATTTCTTATCAGGAGAAGAGCAGAGCAGCAGCTAAGTGGTGCGTGAGCTGACGGGCCTCACATCAACTGTGCCATGCTGAACCATGTAAGTCAGGCTGGGAGAGCAGCGTATTGATCACCGTTATCTTCTCAGGAATTCTGTAAATAGCGCACTATTTCACACACATTTGGACTAGAGCATCCAATACACACTCTACTGTCAGGGTTTTCTTCTGAAAAACAGTTCCGTTTTAGCGTGAATCTATGAATATATTTTGCATATAGCTTCAATGCAATAACAAGATAGCAAGTAACTTACACCATGCAGCTGCATTTGGGGAAAATTCACTTGCAATTTCAGATTAAGATGCTTAGGATTGCTAGGCCATCTTGTTGCCAGAAAGCCACTTAATTTTTGTTGAATCAGATATAAATAATTGCACTAACCATTCTAGTATTCCCTACAATTACTTGTTATTGTGCAGAAACCTAGTGAAGGTGGAGTGTCCTGTGTACAGCTTCTGATGTGCTTTTTATGTCAGTAAAAATCTGAATTGGTGCCTGCAAATTCAAATTATCTCACTGTCTGTTAGGCATTTTATATTTTTGCTCGTATGAATCCTTCCATTGTTCACAACCCTTTGATAGCAAAATAATCTGTATGCTGTTTGCATTTATGACTTGAAGGGTAGTTTCTCTATTTTTATGCACAAAAATATTTCAATATTGAAATACTTTCTCTGGGTTTTATTAAGCGTTCTTGCCTCAAATGTAGTGGCCTTACTGTTATCCCAAAGGGCTTAGGCAAGCAGAGCTCAAACTTTATAGTCTGAGGCATTGGGAATCAAAGCTGCAGTAGCACAAGATGAAATGAGGTAGGTGTTGGGCAACTTATGATCCAGAATTTCACTGTTTCAGGGCAGGTTTCTGCAAGGTCTGCCCAGAGCAGGCTTGAGATTCTCTGAAGTGATGCTTATCTACACCTCAAGCAGAGACAAGGATAAAGTTTCTTTTAACAACATGCAAGAAATAAGCCTATGAAGCAAGCATTATGCCAGTCATTTTTCTAGCAGTGCTAAACTTTGATACCTGCAAGCTACTTCTTTGTTATGTTGGGAGTAGATTCCAGTCCTGCTGGAAAAATTATATTCCTAAGAAAAAGATTATTCAATTTGAAGTGTCATCTCACAAAGTTCAGCTTCTGTCCTGCTGAGTTGATATAGAATAAGATGACCTGTTTCTCTACTGGTTGTGCTTTTGTATTCTTTTTGAATAAAATAAATCAGTAAAATGAAATAAAGTAGAAGAATAAAATAAATAAAATATCATCCAAGTAATACTGTGTTTTGGACTGATTGCTGAGAAACACAGACAACAGTTCTGAGAAGCATTCAAATGGTTGCTCCCAAAGGCTGTGCAATTAGTCAGATTCAGAATCTTCTTTCTGGACAAACAGGAAACACGCTTTATATTTAAAGTCAAGAATGTATCGTTTTTATGACTGAAATCTTAATAGATTAATCCAAAAATCATTTCTGGTCCAGATGTAAGTATTGCAGAAAAGAAAGAGAGAATAATAAAAAAAGAAAAAGAAAGAGAGAATAATAAAAAAGTGAATATCTTATGTAGGAAAAAAGTATTGGTGGTAATAATAATACAGAGAAAATTGATATTTAGACATTTCCCAGTTTCTACCCCTTCCCCTGGTGTTATGCTCACCCTTCCACTGTTCCTCTGGGTCCTCAGATCCCTGGGCTCACTCTGGGGCTTGTGGAAGTGTTAGGGTATCATCAGCATCTGCAATACTTTGCCAGGAGGAGTATGATGTTGATTTATTTTTCTTTTTCACTCTAGGATCTGCTAGGGGATCATCTGTATGTGTTTTCTGACACAATTATATGTGTGCTCTTTCTCATTGGTTTGCAAGTCCATCATAAGTCCAAGTTTGTGCTGTTTTATGTAGGTTGGATAGTTGCTCTTTTGTTACCTCCCCTAAAACTACTCTTGTCCAGATCCAGGTCCACATTTCTTTAATGAAGGGCTAAGGGCAAGTTGTTTATAGTATTTGGATCTCCAACACCAGCCTGTGCCCCATTCCTTCTCATCCCCTGCCTGTCTCCACATCACAGCATCCTGTTTCCTCACTCCTCAAGGCCTCTGCTGCCACACCAGGCCTGTATTCCTCTGAACTACATCATTATGTTAGTCATAAATATCTTGTTCTACACAGAATTACTGCTTGTTACAACTGTCTGTATAAAATTATTGCTGTACCACACAGAGATAAGGAAAAGTAAAACACATCTCGAGTAGCCATCTGGTTAGAAGAAAAATTGCTGTTGCAGCTTAACCAGGTGAAAACAAAGCTCCCAGGCACAGCAAGACAAGATCAGGCAGGGCACGTCTGACAAGCCTCTCTCCTGAAGCTCTGCAAATTTTGTAGAAAGCCTAAAGCCTGTTGCTAGCAATGGTAACGCTGTATTACTTCTCTCTGGAGTTATAAAGCTCCATCCTTGGAGGTTTTCAAGAGCCTAAAAGGCCCTGAACAACGTGGTGTGAGTTCAGTGTTGGCTCTGCTTTGTGCAGGAGGCCGGAGTAGAAATCCCCACGGTCTTTTCCAGCCCAAATGGCTCTATAAGGCTGTATTAATGCAAACTCTTATAGACATATTTTAAAATAGAAAAGTTTATCCCATATATTAAATGCTGGGAGCGCTCTGTTATCCCCAGGAAATATAAATTGGTATTACTCATCCAGTCTGGGACATATTTTTGCACCGTAGTATTTCACAAATACTCCTCCTAGTCCTGCTAGCTCTATTCCTATGAGTCCTGTGGACTTGAATCTTGTTGGTCACAGTGTCCTTGTCTGGTGCTCTGTGACTTCGTTGCCATTGGGTTTGTGAACGTTGCCATTGGGTCTGTGAATGTTGTCATTGCAGTTCATAATTTGCCACTCACAAGATTGGGTTTCTCCTTTCACATCATTCAAGCCTAATTTTTAAGTTTCTGTGATTCATCATTTCTTGCTGTAAGTGCTAGCTGAAGTAAATTCTGCTATGTGGGATCAGATTAAGCTGAATTTTATCTCTGTGAACAAATTTCCTTCGGCAGAATTTCCTCCATCAGTGACTCTCATAATAAATGAGTCTGGACTCCGCATGGCACTGAAGCCCAAGCCTCATTGCTTATTTGTGGGTTTATTGTACCAGTACTGGACCTTTGCTTTTCTGGTAGAGAATTCAGCAGCTACACAAGCCATGCACATAGTCATACCTACATGCACGCAACCTTCAAGCACTGTCAGGAGTTTTTTCTTCAGGTAGCAAACTGCATGTAAGCTGGGCAAGTCTTAAAACTGAGTCTCATGTTATGGAGAGTAAAAAATCTGCATCCAAAGTTAGTTAAATAAAATGTTTGTCTCTGTGATGAAACAAAAAAGCCATTGTCAACCAACAGTGTTTTGTGACTTGTCAGCAAAATGGTTTTTTTCTTTCCTTTTTTTTTCTTTTTTTTTCCTGCAGTGTCCCCATCCAACTTTCCCCACAAGACAGGAAGCATTTGACACCAAGCACACCATGGGAGGGTGGTTGGGAGAAAAGGGCCCTACTCCTCTTCTCAGGAGTGCCAGATCAGTGCCCTCCACAGCAGGGCAAAGCACTAAGTGCAACTTTTCAAGGGATGCAAGATGAGTATTTTCCATTGCATAAAATAGGAACTTGCGGGCTATCTTCTTGTAGATTTATGTGTCCAATGGCAGCTATTAAAAAGCTGAAGAAAACATGAGGTAATGTAGGCTGTGATCTTCTTGCAAGGGGAGACAGAGAAGCTGGATGAGCCTGTGTTATGTCTCCTTCCATCCTATTGATCTGAAGGACACTGCTCATTAGTGAAGACAGCTTTTCCTAACCACAGTGCAAGGCTCTCATTTGCTGTTCTTTCACATGTAGTCTTTTCATCCAGAAAGGAAGAGAGGATGAAAATACTGTGAGTGTAGAAGTGCAGAGGACTTCCTGGGCTGCAATATCTACGTGAGACATTTTCCAAGAGTTTCAGCCACATGAAGTTCAACAAGGTGAAGTGCAAAGTCCTGCAACTGGGGAGGAACAACCCCAGGCACCAGTACATGCTGGGGGGCAGAAAAGGATCTGGAGGTACTGGTGGACACCAAGTTGACCATAAGCCAGCAGTGTGCCCTTGCTGCTAGAGTACCTATCTGCATTAGGCAAAGTATTGCCATCAGGTTGATGGAGGTGATCCTTCCCATCTCCATCTGCCCAGCACTGGTGAGGCCACACCTGGAGTAGTGCATTCAGTTCCAGGCTGCCTAGTACAGGAGAGAGGTGGACATACTGGAGAGTCCAATGGAGGGCTACCAAGATGATCAAGGAACTGGAGCATCTCTTATATGAGGAGACCTGGAACGATATGGCCTGGAGAAGAGGAGGCTCAGGGTGGATCTCATCCATGTGTACAAATACCTGAAGGGAGGGTGCAAAGATGCCAGAGCCAGTCTCTTGTTGGTGATGTCCAGTGCCAGGACAAAAGGCAATGTGCACAAACTGGAACACAGGAGGTTCCCTCTGAACACTGGGAAACACTTCTGTGCCATGCAGGTGTGCCCAGGGAGGTTGTGGAGTCTCCCTCCTTGGGGATACTCAAAATCTGTCTGGACATGATGGCTCTAGGTGACCCTCCTTGAGCAGAGTATTGGACCTGATAATCTCTAGACATCCCTTCCAACTTAAACTATTCTGTGATGGAGTGTCCTTTCACCTTGCTGCTTGAAGGAGGGAGAAGTGGAAAATGGGGATGGATTTCCTTAAACATTTATATGGGAGAGTGAAGCAAATGCTGACTTACTGCCTAGCAGAGAGATGGTAAAGGTCAAGAAATGCAGAGATAGGACTGTAGAATCTGAGAGCAAGTGTGATTGACTGGACAACATTGTCTGCAGAACAGGAAAATATAAATCCACTGTTTGACCTCTGGCAATTCTTTTTGCTAATGTCTATATTTATGTTTGTTTATCACTGGATTGTCTACAGTCCCTCAGCAAACTACCATCCAGAAGCTGTATGACATCACTGCATCATTATATGGTATTTTTAGCATGTTTGCATATAGTTCACTGTTTCAGTTATGCATCAAAAATCTAAGCTTGTTGGCCTTATCTAGAAATGACAGAATTGCCTTTTTTGTTTTGCTTTTTTAAAGACAGCCATCTGTCTATCTCAAGCCTGTTCAGAGTTCCCACAGGCAAAGTATTTTTAACTATTTCAATTATGGTTGTATCAACTGTTCTGTAATTATTGCCCTGTAGCTTTTCCCTGCTGTATCAATGTCCCCTTTCCTAGTTTCTTTCTTTAGAGAAATCATGATCTCACTCCTGTCACCCAGAGGAAGAACTCTCCATGTATTATTTGCTGAGAAGCAAACCCAAGTGTTTGCAAAGCTGTTTTTTCAAGTGGTGTTTCTCTCTACTGCTGTAAAAATATCCTGCCCAAGTAAAAGGCATAAACACATTTCTTCCTCAGCAAACTCTCCTTTGTTATAACTCAGCGAAAAGCATACATTTTGTATT